CATTCTTGTAAAAGTCAAACGTTAACACTAGGCCAAGAAGACTATCCGGCTTTTTCTTACCTCTTATATATACTCAGTTAAGCCAAAAGAAAATTAAAAACCTAGATCGATATATAGTGTTAGGGAGACCTTCATTTCGTATGAAAGTGGATAAAGAAGAGATTAGTTGGTCGATCTCACCAGATGAGGACGGATCAATCTCGTTGTACTGCAGCCATTTGGCTTTTACACGATATTCATGTTGACGTAGTCCACGAGACTTCCTCCCTCATTTACGGTGAAAACATAGGAGGAAGTCTCGTGGACTGCGTCAACATGAATATCGTATAAAAGCCAAACAGCTACAGTACAACGAGATTCATCCGTCCTCATCTGGTGAGATCGACCAAGGAATCTCTTCTTGATGCACTTTCATCCGAAATGAAGGTCCCCCTAACATTGTTATGTCAGGAGATTCATCGAAACAGTATCTCAACCATACTTACTTACGGGCTTACGCCGTCTCGGTCAGGGCTTTCTTTGAGGTCATTAGGCCTTGAAGATCAGAGCCTAACATTAACCTTTTTATAACTCTGATTCAGGACCGGTATTGCGTATAGATACTAACACACTCGAACAAAAGTAGCAGGACCAGTGTGAAAGATAATTAGCAAAACCACTCTATATTGATCTAGGTTTTTAATTTTCTTTTGGCTTAACTAAGTATATATAAGAAGTAAGAAAAAGCCGGATAGTCTTCTTGGCCTAGTGTTAACGTTTGACTTTTACAAGAATGACACCCAGCTCTGATGGTGTCCATCATATGATGGATGAAAGCTCCTCACGTTTTCTCTCTAAACGAGGGATGAAGTCTCGTGGACTGCGTCAACATGAATATCGTATACAGACCAAATGGCTGCAGTACGAGGTTCATCTGTCGTCATCTGGTGAGATCAACCAACGAATCTCTTCTTCCTGCACTTTCATACGAAATGAAGGTCCCTCTAACAATATACCTAATCATTTTACGTATGTAAGTACATTTTCGAGACTTCCAGTAAATAGGGTAAATATATCTCATATACCCATGTATCTTATGAATAAAGTTGTGCAAACGTCCTAAAGATTAAAAGCTTATGAAATTAAGTCAAAAATGGGAAACATTTTGAGAGGTTTTAAATCTCAAAACCGCTGGATAAACTTAGATTATAAGAAAGGAGCAAGGCTCTGAATAGATGATGGAGTTAAGGTGGTAAAAATAACAGCAAGAACACCACTCCTTTACTTTCTTATTAGTATTTTGTGTCATGGTCATCAGCGACTTTTAGAAGGCCAGAATATTATGGATTTCAAAAGGCCGCAAATGGACCACTATAATGAGTAATGGTTAATTTTAAGCTAGTCGATTTTTTATTTCGAAGAAAAAGTTGAGAAGATATTCTTGAATTTGGCTCATCTGAACAGAAGGATTGCCTTTGAGTCAGAAACGTCGAGTTGTGTGAAGAAGTCCTCGACTGACAGTCTTGCGACTACGATGAATCCGTGTATAGCTTACGTCTATCATGCAACATACATCGTCAGAACGAGAAACCGTAATTCACAAAAAGCGCACCCAGTACACTAGGTCAAGAAAAAAGTTGGTATCTGCAGTCAACCTCACTATTCATACCTTACTTTGAAATCCTAATGAGAAATCCTTTGATTTGATTTGCCACTACATGTTTACATCGCAGGCTTTCAGATGAGTGAAGATAATTCATGAAATGTAGAGGCAGTCGCAGGATGGCGAACAGGTTTACTGTGAGATAAATTCACGAATTACTTCTAACCTGAATTTCCCTCAAAACGAAAAGTAGGGTCATACTAAATAATTCATATATAGGCAGAGTTTTGAGACTAACAGTAAATCAGTTATGAGAAATTTATTCACACTATTTCATTTAGGGTGATGGTAATAAAATTTTCGACAAGGATACGAGTAGAGCTGACGTTTCCGGTGAATTTCACATAAATTTGCTTTCCCAAAAGTTATACTCATCCAGGGTCGACTGTAGTTTTGACCTCGCCTAAGTCTTATCAACAACCCCAGCGGGAATCGAACAATGACAGTGCCTCGTGTAAGCTCGAAACGCTAAAAACTCTGTCACATTGCAACAACTCCCCCGAGTCAGAGGGCAGATATGCATTTCAAGAAAAGTCAGGCCTATTCCAATATCACATTGTTTGGTGGGATTGCCGATGGAGCAAATGTATCTTTGCTGTAACAATCGACAACATAACTTTTTTTGTATATAAACAGAGTTTCAAGACAATCATGGCAATGTGGCTGAGTGGTTATATGCTACACTGTTACGGTTCAACTACCGTGGGGTCTGTTGATAAGACAGACATAGGCAAGGTAGAAACTGCAGTCCTCCCTGGATGAAAACAACTTTGGGGAAAGCAAGGCTCTACCCATATCATAGTGGGAAAATTCAACTACTAGTCCTTCATTAATTAAACGAATTCGCATGCTAAATCAGCAAGGTATTCTTCGAAACTCAGGATTCATTAACATATCTTATAATTCTTTTAATTAATGCAACCTGCACATGCCTGCAGATAAGTGAAGTTGATACAAGAACAAACAGAGAATGCTGTAGCAATTGCGACTGCATAGGTATTTTAAGACAATGCAAATATTGCTAGTTGAATTTCCGGCAAAACGAATAAAGATATAAAGGGAAGCTGGGCTCAAATAATCCCTTAATAGATACTGGCGTACCTTCCATTTCGCTTGAGAAGGCGGGTCAAAGAGATTCGTAGATTGGCCTCATTGGATATGGCAGGAGGGTTGTCTTGGACTTTTATGTGTTGAATTGTGCAAAGAAGACCTTGGATCAAGGTCTTGCGACCCCGATGACTGCGTATTGAGCTTCCGTCAGTCTTGCGACGGACATCATCAGAGCCAGAAAGCATTGTTCACGAAAAATCACCCAAAAGCACTTAACGGAGAAAGGGTTTCCAGCTGAGATCCTACTTACTTCTTATACCTCACTTTCGATCTTAATAAGGCATTCCATGATTTGGTTGGCTGACGTATGCTTGTTCTACATGAATTTAAGTGAATCAAAGTGATGCAGGCAGGGGAGCGGATGTGGTCACAACTTTTGTCAATGTAAATAAACTAGAGTATGATCCAGAAATCCTTGGTCTTGTTACAGCTTCATTGATGCGTTTTTGCGTGTGTATGCGGCAACCCCGAATTAGTTGACAATTTCAGGTTCAAAAACAGGCCCCAGTTTAGTCTAGTCTTCTCCTCATAGTTACTGGCTCTTCCTGCTCCCCTTCCTTCTCGCTCAGTCTCTTTAGAAGCCAGAGATAGTTCTTACTTAGTTTTATACATTTCTCTTATTCGGGTTATTGTTTGTTTTGTTAATTTCAATCGACACTAAGTCAGAAGAGAAGACTACACTAAACTGGGGCTTGTTTTTGAACCTAAAATTGTCAACTAATTCGAGGTTGTTGTATACACACGCAAAAACAAATCCCCAAGCTGTAACAAGACCGAGGACTACTGGGTAATACTCTAATTTATTTACAATGACCAAAGTTGTGACCATATCCGCTCCCATTATCCACTTAGATCCATGTAGGACAAGCATACGTCAGCCAAATAAGTCATGGAATGCCTCATCAACACCACAAAGTGAGATATAAGAAGTAAATAGGATCTCGGCTGGCCACACTTTCTTGGTTTAGTGATTTTTCGTGGATTTTCGTGAACAATGGTTTCTGGCTCTGCGATGTCCGTCACAGGACGGACGAAAGCTCAGCACAGTGTAATCGGGGTCGCCGAGGTCTTCTTCGCACAATTCAACAAACACAAGTCAAAGGCAACCCTCCTGCAAAATCCGGTGAGACCAATCTACGAATCCTTTCGACTCACCTTCTCAAACGAAATGAAAGGTACGCCAGTATCAAAACGAATCAAGGACTGGATGAGAAAGCCTCTTAAGAGTAAAGGCAATGTGAAATCCAGTTGCATTATGAAATCAGCGCAGCATTTTATTATTTGAAATTAAATTATAGCAATTATTATATCACTCCAAACGACCCAAGTCTACTCGTTGTATGGATTTCCCTATATTGCCACAAGAGGGAAATAGATAAATACATGTAACTGAGGGAATAAGTAAGCATACCACATGAAGATAGAAGCGTGTGACTGGAGCACTGAAAAACTCGTAGATCTTCTTACGCCACGAGAGTTGGCGCCTTGAATGGCCACCTGGTGGCAAAGCCTGTTGCAGATCAAAAATGTCAAACGGTAACATAAGACCAGCTCCGGCAGAGCCCAACGCTATACTCGTGCCGCCTAAGCCACCTCCAGCAAGGATGGATGAGGCAACGTTAACATTGGCAATAAGACCAGTTAAACGGTCGCCGATACCGCTAGAGTTCGTCGAATAGCCCAGTCCATAAGTTCCGGCCACAGTTTGTTGATGAGAGATCGTCGTGACGGGCCCTAAAGCCTGGTTTCCGTTGTTAGGGCCTGATCCGCCGGCTAGATATGGATCCCAGATGGTAGCTGGATGGCCACGAGACCTCCCCACACCATAAACTCCACTACCTCCATGATCGAGCAAACTGCCGACAGTAAGAGAGTTAGTAGCCGCGACAGAAGCGTAGTGATTGGAGGGCAAAAGGGCTGCTAGATTGGAACTGAAAAGGAGACACACGTCAATGAGGGGAATAGAAGCAAAAGAAAATAAGCTAAAGTAGAAAAGAGCAAATACTTAGATAATAAATATTTCAGGATACATCTTGATGGCCGACACAAACTGTAACATATATTGTTTTGGTGCTGAGAGTCGAAATATCCATGGCAAAATCAATAAAATATCACAAGATCACAAAAAATCTGACAGCGCAAAAGTGAAAATCGGAGCAAAAAGGTGACCATGGCTATATTATGACCAATAGTGCATACTTCTAACTAGAACAGATTACGCACGAATCGGCATAACAATGAAATAAAGAAAGTATTTGCAAAGCATTTAGCCAGAAAATATCATTAGTTAAATCTCATTTGCTTGATCATTTTACCTAGCTGCCTTACGTTTAATAATTCAAACACAGTTTTCGATGTCTAAGTGTGGATCCACACGCAGTTCACCCGCCTTTGAAAATGAAATGAAAGGAACATCAACAAGAACATTGTATACTAAATAACCAGTAAGCCAGTAAGCATGGTCATTTTGTCTGGATAGATGCTTGTAGGGACTAGACATGCCACACGTGACTAAGAACGTTCGATTAAGGTACATATTCAAATATCTTAAAGCGATAACAAACATAATGCTTAGCAAACCTGTGACGCTTATACGATTTATTCATTTTCACTTTTACCTCATAAAGCCCCTTAACTATATGATAGCAAATAAGACATTTTCATCATTGTCCCTTGGTTGAGCTTTGCTCAATAAAGCGGGCTGGTCTAAATAATCTTGTTCATTACTGTTGAGCATACTTTCATTTTGAATAAAGGTGTTTAGTGAAAAGATTAGGTCGATCCAACCAAAAGACGAAGGCGGATTCGTCTTGACCAGCTGCGAATTGGTTTTCCCTGAACATACATGTTGACGCTGTCTTCAAAGTAATCTCCATCGATTCCAGTTAAGACGTGCTAAGCTTC